GGACTCTGGACAAGGATGCGTTCACTGTCATTAAAACAACACCTGGAGGGAAACATCTACCGATTGTGGTTAGTGTGGAAGAAAAAAAATAAAATCACAATATCGAAATTAGTGGATGAAAAATGAAAAAAACTATACGATTTTAGCATTTGGCAAAAATCGTTCAGCCCTAAAAGAAGGATCAAATGGCACAAAAAGTAACTGACAATAAAACGTTAGAAGCATCAGGTTAATGGGCATTTCTTAAATACACTGCATGCTGCAAACATTTTGCTTTCAACCTAAAAAACTAAAGTTACATTTTCGGTCTTCTGGTCAAATCTATTTATTCATCTAAAATGAAACCCATGATAAAAATATACCAATTAATTGATTATGTAGAAATAATTGCCCCAAATAAATCGCCAACCCAAAAGTTGCTACAAGCTTCCTCCCCAAAGAGTAGGAAAGCTGCACAGTTCTGGTCAAAAAGCTTTAGAAACAGTCATGGTGTGTAAATAATGTGAGCGTAACTGATCATTCCTACAGCAAACTGAGCAGACAGCCTTAACTAATACATAATCATGTCTGCTTGAAAGCTCAAAATACATTTAGCTGTTTGTGGTAAATTTTCCTAGATATTTATCAGAATAAACAATTAACAAGATAATGCATGAACTGAATTATAACTGGAAAAAGTAATCGGTTTGTAGGGATTGCTTAAGCAGCATCATGTCCTTTTAGATGGAGGTTACAATGTGCATGTTTTAAGAGATTTTTTTAGCAAAAATCAGCAGTGTGAGAATACTGAAGAATGCATAGAGAAAAATGAGAGCACTCACGTACACACCATTATCCTGATTTCAGTCTGAGAAGATGCTTATAAAAGACAAACTGCCTGGTGTGCTAGCTGTTGTTGCCCCAACTCATCTGCAAAACGCTTTGCTGACAAAGTGAGACTTCTGAGAATGCCACAAACATGTCAATAAATGGTAGTGAAACCCAAAAGGCAGCCTGTGTTCAGATGGTTTTACAGCACAGCCCTACATCCCGTTCACACCCATAAAGTAAAGCCTTCCGTCTGCTTTATGGTGGTTTATTTGTTCATACAAATATGCAAATACAGCAAACAGAAAAAAAAAAAATACACACACACACTGCAGTGTGGTAAGGCAGCGAGACGAAAAAAGGAGGAAAAAAATCTACTCTAGGTTTGCAGCATTTATCGTCTGCTAAATATAATTGAACAAGAATGCTGAAAGCAGCCTAAAACTTTCTTTTTAATGCGTAACAAGAAAAAAGTTTTCTGTTATAGCTTTAAGATGTAGTAAATTAGGCTTTTAAGGAAATGATCAGATTTAGGAATGAAGCCCCGCTGCTAAGATCACACAACAACAAAAAACATCTTTACTTAATGGCAATTAACATGTGAAACTTTGAAATGATGCCTTGCTGTTAAAAATGAACTTGTTAAAGACCTGAAGGCTTGTTTATGGAGAATGAGCTATGACTAATGAAGGACTCAGCTACTAAAAAAGAAAAGCCGAACTTGTTCTAAAGAAATAAAAATCCAACACCTGTCTTGATTGTTTGTGATGCGGGTGTTTGACTTGAATTAGAACAATCTGGAGGAAGACGATGGAGGGGAGGAAAAGGTGACATCAGCCATCAGGAAGGGGTGGATTTGGGAAAGGAAGGAATAAAACTGAAGTTAAATGGGGGATTGCAGAGGTCCACCATTTTAGGGTAGGAGTGAATGGCCTGCAGCCATTATTATGCTAAATTAACCTGGGAGCTCCAGGCCGCCACTCAAGATGGAGGAAGGCTTGACAACAGATAAGAGCCAGTTTAGTTTACCAACACACACTGGGCTGGGAATGGACTCCCCACCCCCACACTTCCTCTGTCCTCACACACACACAGCTGGGGCAGTTGAGTGGTCAGCTGCATGGTCCTCATTATCATTAGACGCCATTTTCTGCCAGAAAGATTACCAAAGACCCCTCCCCCAAGAAATGCATGCGCACACTAAACTCCAGCCCACTCATTTGCCCCACCTCCCTTCCAGTGGCCGATGCAGGCATACCTCCCCCAGTGCTGACCCCCTGCCTGCTGCCCCACCTCATTGGCATAAAAACAGAGATGAGAGGGACTGAAGCTCGGGGGTCTAGAGCGGGATGGGGGCCGTCCTGACACATTCCTCTGCCTGATCAAGTTTCCACCTTCACAATGATGCGCTGAGCCTCGCACACAAATGCTCAGAAGCTCTCTTAAGCGGTGCTCTACTCCTTTCATTATAGAACACATGAAACAAGGCGAAAAAATGGAGATCTAGCAGGATAAATTTTGTGGCTCATTTCCATCTTCTGGGGTTTCCTAGAACCGACACAGACCTTTTATATCAAAATAAAATGACAACAAATTGACATTTGTTTTTTTAAAACCATCAGCTTTCAGTTTGTTTGTAAATCAAGCTTCTCACCCAAAAATATGCTTTACAAGTAAAACTTTTATTTGCCTCCACACTTTTTATGAGAGATGCCAAGATGGCCCAAACTTTGGGAACTTTGCCCCCGAGAAAGATTCTTACATTTCCAAAAGGCTGCCTAGTTTTCCAAATCCAACGTTTTGAACCACATAGGTTGAAAGTTAAGCAGAGCAATACTTAAATGCTGACTGATTGCAAACTTTGAGTCATCTTCCTGAACTAACACCTTTCACACCAAAAGAGGGTGCACGCTGATGGTGCTTATGTAACGGTACATTTTTTGCAACTGGATGAAGGTTTGATTATTGAGTTTTGGCCCATCTTTTCACTGATCATCACTAACCAAACTATAAATCACCCAATTCTGGTTAATAACAGATGTCCCTGAGAACCTGTGGCAAGAACTACCATCCACATTCAGAGTAACTGGGGCCAATTAATACAGCTTAAAAACCTTACCTGAGATTTTTAATCATACCAATTCTGAATAATTTCTTTTCTCCCTTAAGTTTCATAAAAAAAAGAAAAAAAAGAAAAAATAAATAAATTTCAGGTTTGCCACCAGGGATGGTAAGAAGATGTTAACGCCGGCTAGAAAGAGTGAGAAAAGGCAGACAAGAGCGGAGTAAATAAAGTTGACGGTAAAAAATATTGACAAAATCTGACAAGAGCTTCAAGTTCAGTCAGGCAAATCTATATTTTGTTTTAACATGGAGACTATTTAGTATAAAAACAGCTGAAGCCTCTCTAATCAGTCACCATTTAGAAGAATCAGACCAACGGTGAATTAATCCAACCAGTAATTTGAATTCAGAGCCCCAAAAAATCCAGCTGATCTGAGCTATAAAGCAAATAGAGAGAGCCATTCAGTAACATGTTCCTTTGATATAATGACCACATACTGTGGTTTATTTCAATTCAACCCCACATTCCCTCTCCTGCTGGCAGAAATGCTCCACTCCATCCAAAACCGGTGTTAATCCATCACAAACACCTACTGCAGCCTCAGAAATAATGGCACCCCTCACCAACCGCACAGACTTATTCTGAAAAGATAATGCACCTTTCAAAGGTTTTCTACACGTGTCAGGAAGTCTGTCTGTCAGTGACACTTTGAGTGGGGTGACATAACAAGACCCCAGACAACAGTTTCACCTTCCACCTGAAGTTTGAACCCTGCAGCTCTGTGTCCAACAGAAAAAACGTATGAATATGACTGATCCTCAGATCCGTCATGGAGCTCTGGTTCCCTGCTTCACCAGGCTCTGTGATAAGGAGTCCCCCCCCCCCCACATAAACACTGTGTGCTACAGTTCACAGCTCAGAGGTTGTGACCCTTTCAGTTCCCCCTGGTTGGTCACATGAGTGATGGATGCAGCATGTGCGTGTGCGAGTGTGCACGAGCTTCTGTTCTTGTGTAAGCAGCAGCTTCAGGATTCCTTCAGCAAACAGATCTCCCCTCTAGGAATATCTGATTATGATGTGTGAGACCAAGCTCTAAGTTAGATCATTCAAAGAGTTGTTTTTCAGTCGTTTTAATTAAAAGCCGCTTTAGCTTCTAAACTCTTATTCCTCTGCATGGTTATGAGGAACTGACATAAAACCAAAAACATTTTAGGAATTGGAACGTCGTCTAGTATAATGAAGCAGCAACTGTACAGGAATTTAATCGTTTCAACCAGCACACACAAGGTTTCTTTGTTTCTCCAAGTTGATTTAAAGCTACGCTCCACACCTTTCTGGGAAAACCTTTCAGATCACTTTAGATTAATTTAATCAAATACAGAACAGTTTTTCCTTTTCGTTGCAGGTTTCTATAACTAAATATTTTCAAAGCAGGTTTCCTGCAGACGTCCCTCATAATCTGTAAGGTGACCAATAAAATGCATGACTGTTGAATGACTCCAAATAGGCCCCATGTCAAACAACTTGAGAAACTGCATTGTTCAAATTAAAATCTTTCCTTTATTTGGGGGTTATTAGTATTCAGTCTAACGGAGGCAAAAAGTCTGAGAGCTATGAAAGAGCACTGCATGGATTCTAGGAAAATGTTGGAACAAGGAGACATATCAAAGCTGTACGTGAAAAGAAGCAGGTTAGTCTGAAAGGGTCATCCTCAAAGCAAGCGGGAATACAAACATATTGGTGCTAGTTAAAGCTGTCAGCATGATTACCGTCATCCATGTTTGCTTTAGCATCCCATGAATCATGGCTTTGGAGGAAATCTTGCCCAAGCACACAAAGTCAAACCCCTTGCAAACCAAATGCAACTGAAATCTTTGGAGATCAAGGTGGAAATCGGCGCTACATGATGCCGCACTGTGATTCCCACGCCATCTGATAGGCTAATGTTTGCGTCACTAATATAACTGACCATAAAGCAGGATTTGATTGTTTCTTTTCTCTACTGCACTTTTTAGAAATTGTATTCTGTAAAATCTTGCAGTTGAAATCCAGCCTGTTGACAAACCTTCCTTGGCAGATAATCATATATTATCTTGAACATGAAAAGACACAGTTTCAGGGCTCCTACCTGGTTTTCTTAGGAGTCTTGGCCTTGGGTGTGGTGCTCTTGGCTTTCTTCTCCTTGGGCTCCTTGGGCTCTTTGGGAGTCTTGGGTGTTTTGGGGGTCTTCGGGGTCTTGGGCTCTTTGGGCTCCTTGCCCTCCACCTTCTCCTTTGGTTTCTTTTTCCGCTTCTTCTTCTCCTCCAGTGGCGGCAAAGTCCCTTCAACAGTTCCTGTGCCGGTAACCTGTTCGCTTGCATTGCTTCCTGTTGCAGGAAACTCCGACTTCACGTCCTCATCTCCTCCTTCCTTTGCTCCTTTTTTGCCTCCATCGTCTTTATCTCCTTCCACGGCTTTAGCTTTCTTTTTCTTCTTCTTTTTTGGCTTGGTCTCCTGATCAGTAGGCTTCTCTGTGCTGATAGACTGGCTGGGGGCTCCGGCACCAACCGTTGGCCTGTCAGGAACCATCATTGAGGCGTCACCTGACAGGTCTGAGGGGGAATGCTGGTGGGGAGAGAAAACCAAATTTAATTTTTTAGGAACTTTAAAGAAATCATAGATAAGCTGTGTAGATATATTTTATTTTCTTCACTCAGCCATAAGACAACACGCATACAAACAGGAAGAAAAAAAGATTAGAAGAATTCAAAATGAGCATGGAGTATTGGTTTGATAAAGTTTCATGAAGAGATAGTCATGCCGATTGATTTTTACGTTAGTTATATCATTCAAGCAACCATTTCTTGGTTACATGGATATAAACAACATTTTTCAGCAAATCCAGCAAAATTGTAAGGTTAAACAAGTTCTGCTCCGTCTCGATGTTGAGTGGAACTGCTTCATATGTATAAATACCCTAATGTTGTCTATGTGGGATGTTTCCTACTGTAAAGTAAGTAATAAAAAGGTTAAGTTAAAAACTAAAAAAAAAAGTAATTTCCTGTATAAGCATTAATGTTTTGAGGGTTATTTTGTTACATAAAAGTGTTTTTCCTTTTTTTTCCTCTCCATTATTTTCTTATAGATAAACTCTGGCAGTCTTGTTCATTCACCCTTGAATTGAAATTTTTAATCTTAAAATATTTTATAAATGACCTATAAAGGGTTAATGAAAACACCTCTTCTTGTAGTTCAAACAAAAGTGTATAAATTAAAACTGATATGTTTACTTGACCTGTAAGTCAAGCTATTTACAATCAACAAAAAGAAAAAAAAAAGAAAAAAAAGAAAAAAGAGAACTGTTGTTAATAAGCAATGTTGATTTCGCTGACCATGATTGTAACCCCTGCAAGTGTCTGCTGATGAATCAAGTGATGGCCGGCAGCATCATAGCACCCCAAGGCTTTAAAGGAATAGTACACCCAAAACATGATTAGCCTTCATTTTCTACTCACCCCCATGCTGAACAACACCCTGGAGTACTTTTTTGATATCTCAAATGCATCTGGAGATCTGGGAGGCTTCTTGCTGTCTGCTGACATTCAAATAATGGAGGTCTATGGTGACCGAGACAGAAAGGTCCATAAAAGTCCACAAAAAACGTGTCAATATTCCTCCATACTGCTCGTCCAATGTATTCCAAGTGTCCTGAGTGGGTAGCATCCAGAATTTACTCGAAACGAAGTCATTTAGAATGTTTTTAGAGCATAAACAGTAGTGTATAGGATTTCCTGAAAGCGCGCACATGCTCGATCACGACGCTACGGAAGCCGGCAGACCAAACCAGATGAAAGTGCGCATTCAGCGTCTGCTCTTCCAATAATGCAAGCCTAGAAGAAGAAATGCGCCGTTTACCTGTGTAAAGAAAGAAACAACGAAAGAAAAATGTCTGAGGACTTCAGTGTTGAGGAAGAGCATGAGTTCTTTGCCGAGCTGAATGCGCTGGTTTGGTCTGCCGGCTTCCGTAGCGTCGGGATCGAGCATGTGCGCGCTTTCAGGAAATCCTATACACTACTGTTTATGCTCTAAAAACATTCTAAATGACTTCGTTTCGAGTAAATTCTGGATGCTACCCACTCAGGACACTTGGAATACATTGGACGAGCAGTATGGAGGAATATTGAAACGTTTTTTGTGGACTTTTATGGACCTTTCTGCCTCGGGCGCCATGGACCTCCATTATTTGAATGTCAGCAGACAGCAAGAAGCCTCCCAGATCTCCAGATGCATTTGAGATATCAAAAAAGTAAAGTAAGGGTGTACTATTCCTTTAAATCATTAAATTAACTATTTTTCCTTTTTTAACTCCACCAAGTGAAACCACAGTACCAAGATAAAGAATTTGATACCGGCCGATGCCTCCCTGCTTCAGAAGCCCTTTGTCAGCCAATAGTGATGGACTGAAAAAGCAGGGGTTGTATCAGTCTGGAATGGCAGCCAACAGAGCAGAGGGGTAAAAGGGATCATATTTCTATCCATCCATGTATAAAAAGCTGTCATCTTCTCCCCGCCTTCCACTCCCTGTTGCTACAGTTTCCGCTCCCCTAGCCTCGTCCTCCGGCAGGCTAACCTTAGTAAACAAACTGGCTGACACCTCATTTTTCCTCCCTCTAGTCTCTCCTGTAGACTAATCTCTGTGCTCCTTCTCCCTGCACCTCCTCTTTGCTCCCAAGTAAGCTTTCAGTGACAGGAAACTGGTTACCAGCTGTTGGGAGCCTCTCCAGCTGCCTCTCCTTCCCCCTCCTCTTCTCTGCCTCCCTGCCTCCCTCCCGCTTTCTCTCTCTCCAGCTGCTCAGGGTCCCAGTAGCAGATGGGAAATCAGGCATCATGACACGAATAAATTATCTCCATACTTCAAAAAGGCACAGCGAGGGAGAACGTGCGAGTGTGTGTGTGTCGTACCACAGCCAGAGACACTATGCCTTTGAGAGTCCGTTGGTGTGCATGTGTAACACGTGCGCTTTGCTTTTTCTTTACGTGCGTCTGTGTGTCTATGTAGTGTGAGCATCAGCAAGTTTCTCTGTACACACACACCGGATATTTTTTTCCACACCAGGGAGGAAAGAGTTGGGATGCCATCACTAAAAGTTCACTTCCATCAGAAGAATGCTAATGTACACACAACCCCAGAAATGCTGCAAGGTCACACATCACACTACCCCGGTGCAAACAAACACCTGCTGACACACACGTAAAGTGAGCCTTTTAGACGCACAAATCGGGGGAAGGGAGGGTAAACCTAAGGAGAGTGGGATAGAGAGACAATGGCAGGAAAAAGATGAGAGAAGAGGTCCCCTATTACCCAGCTGCCTGTAAATGCTGTACAGCATCAGGTGGACTTCCCCGGCATGAAATCACTTTTATGTAGTAACGTCTGCTCATTGAGAAGCTTAAAGCAGTAATATTCAGCTTATTCAGATAAACCACCCTGATAACTTCAACATCAGGTATCAAAACCAATATTTTCCAAAAGATTCCCTTTTGTCCGTAGGATATTTAGCTATATACAATTAGAAATAACTGGAACTGTACGTTATACAGCAAATAGGAAGGTTGAGGTCTGAGGAAAAAAAATGAAAATAATAATAATATAGTTATCAAATTAGTAAAAAAATTAAATGGGTAGCTGCCCGTAAAAAAAAAAATTGTTATACCAACAATACTTTGGGCTGCAGTTAGGGGGGAAATGTGCTCATCCACTAACGATGACAGCGCTAGGTAACCGCCCAGGTAACCGGTGAGAACCCAGCAGCATGGCCCCAGTTAATCCGTCCCTCCGCGACGAACGGTTGTACTGAAACTAATTTCCCTCTGGGATACTTAAAGTACGTCTGATTCTGATAACATTAATTTAGCAGATTAGGATTTTTACAGACCGATTGATTAGCCTTCACTACATCAGGTTTCACCACCTCTAAAGCAACACTGTAAAGTTTGACCAGAGTATTAGCTTTATTCATATTTAGGACTTTGTGCGTATCAATACTCCATGCAGGCTGGCCTTCTCACCTATGTAACTCAAGAGGGTGGAATCCATCATCGAATGGGTCATGTGACCCAGAGCGCCACTTCAAAGCACAGGTGGCAGTATCAGTAGAAAACTTGGTCATGCAAGCAACCTTATAAGGCAGGGGTTAGTGATCATAGGGAGGTTTAACGGCCTACCAAGCCAATGATCAGTTTTGTTTTTTCCTTTCCATCAATGCAGCAGTGTTGCTGCACCAGCACATGGCCGCTCCCTGTGGTGACTGGGTCAGTCCGCTATTTCGCATATTAATGGAAAGATACTAACTTCCTCTGAACACATGAAAAGAGAAAATAGCAATAGTAAAAAGAGTGAACTAATTCTAAAATCAAAAATCCTAAAATGAGGAGGAGGAGACAGGGGGACGGGGGACAGGAGAAAAAGCTGTTGAGTGTCAACAACAAAATCTGGAATATTTTTCACTAAATCGAGTTTGTAGTAGAGTTGCTGTTTTCTGGTTTGACAAATAATTAACTTTATTGATAAAACTGAAAATCTCTCCGATGTATTTTTGGAGAATATATTAAATTACCATAAGCAAAGCAGTATTAGCAGAGAAAATGTCAACCTGTTAGGCTGCGCTTTATTAAGTAGCCACCGTAAACGGACTTTTCATGGTTTCTCGGATGTGCGTTTGGCGCCACCCTTTGAAATGAAGCATCATCATCACTACTGGTGAGTGCCGTCAGTGCAAACTTTCTAGAACAGGTTAAGGGCTTGTTATACTCCCACAGCAGTTTGTTACATTGAGCTTGTCGCAGATATTTTTGATTTATGCCCAATATTGAAGCGTGGTCTGCACTATGTTATTCCACGCCACAACCCAAGAGGGACAATCACGAACTAGCTGTGGGTCTATATACAGCTGAGGCGGTGAGGAAGAGGGGGCAAGTTTTAGCGACAACTGAGGGCGAAAAAGATCCAGGTAAAAAAAAGGTCCCAATATTCTTGCACATCTCCTAGCTGACTTCACGAGTTGTTTTCCACAATGGCGGTTATACAAACAAAACAAGTCGGTAAGGTTTCAAAAAGGAAATACGCATAGTGTAGAGCGGATGTTGATTTGACCAATCAGAGGCCTCCTGTCTGCGGCGTTGTCTTGGGTCCCCTACAATTCTGGAGAGGTGCAGCAGCTTGTCTGCGGAAGAGGCGGGGGCACATTTGCGTTCACTGCGACACACACCGACCTGGTTTCCGAGTATAAATCAGCTTTTAGCAGGCAGGTATTGATGATGATGCAGGCTTTGCTTTCCAGTGAACTTGGAGGTATAGATTGGTAATTACTATCATCACCTGTAAGTAAAGGAGGTGACAACCAAATTATATCCAAAATACCCCACGATCAAGTTTGATTCATGCCCGAAATATCCTCTAAAGACTCTTCAATAATCTAGTACAGTGAGGACTTATAACACACACAAAGCTTGCAAACCATTTTAAATGTTGGCAGCTACTGCTAGTTACAAGATAAAGGCCAGAAATGGCAAGCTACACTAATTCTGATGATCTACATTTATAGGGCAAAACACCCATTATGAGAGTTTGAAGCCTAAACGTGTCTGTTTTATTTCTTTTAAACCAATTTCTCTGCTTCGGTTTTAACCAACTACCATAAAACCTTTTTGAAGCATTGACCTAATATGGTTTACCAGCAGTGGATTAGATGAAGTGAGCTGTTTGCTGACGGAATAAATAAAAGAATTGGTTTCAATATTTTAATGAAACCAAATGTATGTGCAGATGGGCATTATGCATTTTCACAAAATAAACAAATTCAGTCTACTACTTTACGGTTAATCATGGTCAATACATATCAAACCTCCCAGGCATGTGATGTAGAATTCTCAGAAAGAGAAAAAAACAAAAAACAAAAACATAATGAAATTACTTCTAGGAATTTTTGTATCCAGCTGCTTAAGTGCACCTCATGAGATTAGGTTAAACTGATCCACCGTGGATCCACAGACCCATCTATTTTGCTAAACACATGGTTTTAGGAGGAGCAAACATGACATTTAGAATGAAAACCAACAGAAAGAAGAATCCAAGTTTTCCCGTCAGCCTTTATTTTTCTTGAAACGTCCAACAAAACTAGTATAAAATTAACAAATTAATTAATAAAAATGCAAATCAAAAAAAAAAAGAAAATTGCCTAAAGAAAGATTTTCCAAGAAGCTGCAGAATCTTAGCGAGCTAAATGGTATCACAGCTCTCCGACTGTGAGATGAGTGGGGGTGAGGGGCGAGACAGGCATGTTATATGTCAACCAGAGTGCTGCACGCAACATTGTGTGTGCGTGCGTGTGTGAGTGCAAGAATAAAGGTCACAGCACAGCATTCTGCCGGAGCTGTGACCTTGAGATCCTGACGAAGGCCTGTGTGCGTGCGTGTGTGTGTGCATGTGTAATAACCATGCTTACAGAACAGATGGAGCTTAGAGTACCAGACATGCAGTCATCATGAGTGACTGACCAGCTTGGGGTGTGTGTTCATGTGTGTGTGTGTGTGTGTGGGGCTCTTTCTAACAAGTGCATCATGAGATGAACTCCCTTCCTGTGCCACACACTCACACACCCCCTCTTTAACTCCTCTAGTGAGGCTATCCTATTTCCCAAGGCAATTCACCATCCTATTCAGGACCAAACCATCAATGTGTGTGTGTGTGTTGGTAACATGGGCTGCGGGGGCCGGCAGCTTAAGCTGGGATGGCGCACGCAGGCGAGAAGTGGGGCTCACCAGTCAACCTGGCATCTAGGTCAGGAGTCCTGGATAAATTAAGTGTGACGGCTGAAATGTCAACTACGGAACGCAGCAAATGCAGTCTTGGAGACGGGGAGGAATAGGAATAGGCGAGGGAAGGGGAGCAGAGTGGAGAGAAAGAGGGGACTAGCTCCGTGTTTGTGTGGCCACAGGGCTTCTATTGTGCATGAATGGGTCAGTGGAGAAAGGGGGCTTTGAGCAACAAAACAAGCTAATGGAAGGCGAGGGGCACGTGACGCCAGCGACTCCAACACACAAATGTAGCTATTAGAAAATGAGAACTACTTCCCCACCGGCTCTCCTCTTTTTTGCCAAGGATGCTGTACTCCTTTCTTATCAGATGCATTACAACCGTGTCTTCATGAACCATTTTCCCCCTGGATATGAATTCTCATCAACAATCTATTTCACTCTTTAGGTGCGTTTGTCTTCAATCTGGCATCCAAATCTGTCTATGTAAATTACGATTCCTAATTCTGACACAGTAACATCCCATCTGCACATCTTCTAGAGCTTTATGAAACCTGGACAAAGACAAGATACTATAGAATGGGAGTCAGTCAGCTTTTACAGGCTAAATAAAACCTGAAATCAGAACAGGCAAAAAAGATCACTAAACTATGAGGAAATGTAAAATAGATGTTAAATGCCCAATGTTGATCCCTTTTCAGTGTATGGCAGAGGGAAAATGGGCTACTGTTGAAAAGCTGATTTTTGGTTATAGAAGTAAAACTGTATTTATGCTAAATAGATAAACCAACCAAGGTTAGTTGATTCTATGGAAAATATGAACCTTTAATGAGTAACAGTACAACGACCACCAGAAAGAACCTATCCAAGCTGTTGGATTTTGGGGGTAGATTTTTGCCACGTTGTGTTATTTAGGCTCTGGTTCCTGCAGTGGATACAAACTCCTGCGGTGAAACTGGATCTCACTCCTTTCCCAACCTCTTGATATCAAACTAATCAGAAATCTGCTTCTATGAACCGTCTGTCTTATCCACACATCTCACTACACAACTTTAGGTCAGTGATGATATCCCTGAAGGAGAAAAGACAGAGAAAGACAGACAAGTGGCGATAGAGGGAGCGGAAGGAGAGGAGACGAGGAAGGAGGGGGGGGGACAGGAAGGGAGGTTTCCTCTACAGGGTGGTGGGGGGTTAGTGGGACCAAGAGCTAGGAGAGATTATTCTGGTGGCGCCTCTGTGCGCGTGCCTGTGTGCATGTGTGTGTTGCACACGTGTCTCAGGATATGCAGCTCACAGGAAGCAAACGGCTGCAAGAATCCATTTCCCCACACACACACACATACACACACACACGGAAATACAACCACACACAGGACAGACTGCAGCACACACAAGAAAAACACACACACACACAAAACCCCAACGATCCAGTACGCAATACGCCGCTGTGTTCTCAAATGTCAGGTACACACACTTCCCTCAGACTCCAAAAACACACACACACAATTTCCCCACCCACATGAAAAATAAACACTCACATGAAAAACACCCACACACAAAAACAAATGCACATAGTCTTGATCTCTCTCACACTCGCAGCCTTGCTACCACATCAAAGCGTTTGTTTGATGAAGACTCACCTGTATGTGAGGCACTTTCTGTGGGGTAAGAGGGGGTGAGGAGAGCGGGAGGGGGGCAGGTGGCTGAGGTGCCCATGGGTGGGAGGCCTGGTTGGGAGGAGGGGGCGTGCTTTGCAGGTTGTGCAGGTGTGGGGGCAGATGTGTGTGCTGCGTCTGAGTGTTCTGGGCAGGTGGAGCTAAGCCCTGGTTAGGGGCAGGGGCTCCATGTTGACCGAGAGGCGGACCCTGGAAAGCCATAGGAGCGGCCTGCAGGGGCTGCCCACCTCGAGAGGCTTGCTGTTGGGCCTGGAGAACTCGCTGGTCACCTCCCTGGCTGACCGAGGCTTCGTGAGGCCCTGGAAAGAAAGAAAAAGATGAAGGTTTCCCTGAAAAAGGAATACAGCTGTGAGAGCGATACAGCTAAAGGGTTCCTCAGGGGTTAGTCCAAGTACCACTCTTATTTATTGAACATTTCAATACTGCTGATTGTAACATTACAACTTTTTTATTTCTACATGTCAGCAGCCAGATAGAACTTGGCTCATGATCTTTTGTTCTTCACTATTTCAGGATACAAAAAGTTGGTACCTTCCCTCCTTGGACAAGCTTTAAGATTTTACACTAAAGTTTTAAAGCTTATTTTCTTGTTCTTTCTATTTAATATTTGGAGCTCAGCACACTGTTTATCACTATGTTTAAGACTTGTGAATATTTCACCACTGTCAGACACACTGTTTTGTTAGTCTTCCCCACTGAGACTTTAGCTTTGATTTATTTTGAGACCAACAATCATCAAAACCATTTCTTAGGGTACAGTATTAGGACCACAGTTGATCTTCTATATCAACAGATGGTGTGTACCCCTCTACATGCTCATCTGCATTGGCAATGTATGCATATTAGTTACCATGTCCACACCAAACTTTGTCCTTATATAACATCAGTTGGTAAATTTTATTTTTGTAAAGTATTATTCTTGGAGGACATTTTGCCTAAAAATCAAAATTATTTTAAAAGTCTGGCAATGTCAGCATATAGAGGAAACCAGTTTTACCCAGATCAAGTTACAAAAAGAGGCTGCATGGTTGTTATCCAGATTTCTTCTGTTATTTTAGAACATTGCCTCCATCTACTACCCTCTTTTTTGTATTTGGGGTCTCTTTTTTTGTTTTATGCACCAATGTACTTCTAAAACTAAACTCCTAAATGTGGGATTCCACCATCAATCTGTATCCCAACTCAATTGTATTGTTTCTGCCATATTTATCTTCCTTGTTATGCTGTCATATATATATATGCTTTCTTCTCAAATTCTATATGCATTGAACATGATCACAGCTCTGAATGGTCAGACTTATCGGTTCACAGATTTACACATTTGGTATATTTTAGTCTTTAAAAACATTTTCAGTCACCAGCTTTAATCATTTCAGTTCTACACCCATCTAAACAGTTCAGGAGGCTATGGTCATTGGCCCAAACACTGTACTTTTGTGCTTTTTGAATTTAAATTAAGGATACGTTCTCCTTAAACACCTTTGAAAGTATTTCTGCATCACTTGAAAGAAGCATGGATCAGAAGATGCATACAAAAAACAACAATGAGCATTTAAAGTTTCCATAAAAGATTACAGCAAAAATTTTGGGAAAATTCGACTAGTTTGCAAATATGTGAGATTTATTTTAATCTCTTTAGACCTCATCCAGATCCAAAAAAAAATGTCTCAGCAACTCCCCTAAAGACGGCTCCTTGTGGCTTTTAGATCAGAGCAGATCAGACCAATTTTCCTATAAAATTCAGTATTAATTCAGGGTTTACCAGCATTGCTTTCTAACAGTGAACAGAAATTCTTACCAAACCCAACAATTGTGCTACATACTCTCAACCTGATAAAAAAAAAAACAAAAAAAAAAACACCTCGTTTGTTTTCCTTTTAAACTTTAATTTACACGATAATCAATATTCAGATATAACCAAGATTAAAACAGATATATTAAAAAGATTAATTTGCCTCAAGTTTTAAACAAAGCCTATGTAAATTGAAAAAAATTGTGTTATTTCTGTAGCAGCCACCTTCAGCCGCTTATCTGACCAAAACAAGGCCAGCTAAACCAACATGACAAAAACATCTAACAGAAAGAAGGAGAAAAAAAGAACCTTCTCATAAGCCAAACAGAAAGTGTTATTTAGAGATACTTTCTACACGAAAAGGAAGGAAAGACAAAACCAAAACGCTGAAGCATGCCACATGCTAGCTGGGCCAATGCTACGAACACTACCACTTCAATAGTAAAAGGAGCCTAAAAAGGCCTGGAAAGCTCCTGTATTTACAAAAATACAGCAGTAGTCCTCCCATAAGACATAGGCTAACTCTACCATCATATATTATAAACTCTTTGTAATACTTTCTGCTTTTATAAAATTGAAAATAACATTCAGCTACTACATAAAAGAAAAGAGCATTTGCATGGACAAGATCCTTGTTTACTTTATCAAAAATGTGTTTTGCATGCACCAGACCCAAGCTTGTTTTGAAAAACAAATTACTTAAGTTAACAATTATCCTACTTTATCCCGCAATAGTAAAATTTTTTGTATCCACTCTAAATTGAGCAGCAAATGAAAGAACAGTGACATACAAGAGATATCTCCTTATAAAATAATAACCAAATTAAATGCAGAGACATCCATAAATGTTATTAAAGTAGGAGAAATTATCATCTTGTCTTTCATTATGCCAAATAAGGAAGTGTCACTAAAGAGTTATACTTTTCCAACTGGAAGCTGAAATATTCCAATTGTAGATTTTGCCTCAATAGATGTGCTAGTTTAATTTAAAGATATTTCTGCTATTGTCCGTGACTAGGACTTTTCTACTAATCAATGGAATGGCATTTTCTCCAAACTGAGAAAAAACATTTTTATTCCAAACTGAAGTAGGAGTTTAAGGTCTCCTCACCTTGTGGTTGCTGGAGCCTGTTCTGCCCGATCTGTGGTCCACGCTGAGGCCCCATGCCAGGATACATTTGCCCTGCACTGGGAGGCATGTTATGGGGCTGCTGGTGCTGTGGGTGTGCTGCAGAAAGAGAGTTTTGGGGAGTTCTCTGTGCATGGGCCATACCGCTGGGAGGTGAATGCATTGCTGTGTATCCTGCAACATCCGGAGGTCCAGCTAGTCCTGCACTAGGGGGTCTTCCCTGTGGGGGAGGAGTTGGAGTTCCCAGAACCCGCATAGGGGACATAGATGGGGGGGAGGGGTAGGATCCCTGAGCTGGGGCGGTGAGGTGAGACTGGGGTTGGTTTGGGGGGATGTTTGGGGGATGGTTTAGGGGATGCATAGGCTGGCCTTGCTGTCCCGCCTGCTGTTGCATTGAGGCAGAGTGGGGCTGGTGGGGTGGAACAGAGGGGTATCGCTGTCCCTGCTGCCCCGGCGCCGAGCTCGTTCCCTGGTTGAACCTTTGGCCCAGCTGCCCTGCTCCAAGGGCCTGGCTGGTGTTAGCGCTGACGTTAGCGTTAGCCCCCTGGCTAATTCCAGGTCCCATGGCAGCGTACTGAGGCTGATAGCCAGGGTACTGGGCACCCCCGAACGGTGCCATGCCCTGTTGGTGCTGGTGGGGGTGTGGAGGTTGTCTAGAAGGGGAGTGTGGGTATCGAGGTGTGTGGCCCATGTTAGGATAGTTCTGGGGCTGGGGCTGTCTCATCTGGACGCCCCCCATCCCAACATGTCCTAAGTAGTGAGATGGGTCCTGAGCTGGAACAGGGGCCATGCTCTGTGGAGGGTAGTGTTGGTTCATGCGAGTTGCACTTGATGTAGGAGGACCTTGCATGCCAGCATAATTGCCTTGAGACATTTGGTAGCTTCCCATCTGGTTGGGACCAGCCCCTGATGGTGCTGAAGCCTGCTGATACACAGATCTGCTCTGCTGCTGCGGGCCCCAAACTCCACCTCCACTTCCTGCTCCTCCTCCCCCAGCGTCCCCCTGGTACCCATGGTGAGGGTTGGAAGAGTTAGCTGGGCTGCTGTGGTAGTGGGAGGTCATGCCATTCATGGCCGTGTTCACATTGGGTGACCCCTGGTTTGGACCGTTCTGGGCCATCATCCGTCCCCCGGTGGCGCCCGGCTGATCGTAGCCTGTGTAAGGGCTGTGCTCATACATCTGCCCCAGTTTGGACTGCCCCGGTCCGGCTCCGGTGCCATGAAGCATCCCTTGGTGGTAAGCCCTATTTCCCTGGTGCTCGTGGTTCAGAGATTGATTTGCCGGCTGGACTAGCGGGTTGGCCTGACCAGCCGCTGACTGCTGGGGAAAGCAGTCCCCCAAACTATCCAACCCGTCTGAGAACAACCCTGCATCATCACCAAAGAGGCTCAGCATCCCTGGATCCGCCATGGCTGGGTGGTGGACCCACAGATGGGAGATGTGCTGTGAAGTGAAGAGCTAAGCACTAATTTGAAGCTTTCCACTCCATCGTCCTCATTAAGGTTCCTGGAGAAACAGGTGGGGGAACAGAAACAGACAAAAGAAGAAGTTAGTGATCATACTAATAACAGCAAAAAGCTGCTTTAAGCCATTGTTTTAATGAATTATTTGTGGTATTAGACCAGCTGACTGATTAATAAAATCTACTATTACTTTCCAATACATGAAAAGGCTAGCATTAACGTAGCTTTTGTTGTAGATACCCTCCTGATGTTTGCTGTACGAATAAAGGGCTTAGTCTTTTAATAATTTTCTAAAGCTAAGTGTAACATCACTTTGAAGCTTAAAAGTTAGAAGAAATGAAAAGGTGTTTAAAGACTACCAAAGTTATTTAAAAGAGATTTCAGGTTATTCAACCACAAACAAGGCGGAGAAAAGAAAAAGAAAAATAGACAGTTCACATCAGTGTCCTCTGCACCCTGCCCCCCAAACTCCAATTCACAACTAAACAAAAGAACTTCTTTCTTTGCTAACACACATTTGGAGTCACAAAGTGTGCCCCCCCCCCCCCAATCAGTGTGTGTTAGAACAAAGGGCCGAGCAGATGCAGCTCTGTTTAAACAGCAGCAGCTGCCAGAAATCAGCCAGCCAACAGGGCAGACAGACCAACCTACAGCCAGTCACTACTTAGCTACTCGGATGGCAGCCTTTTCAATAACTACTCAGGCAGTGCAGGCAGATGTTTCGAGACACCAGAACTAAACACCTGCATGCTACCATCTAGGTTTAAGACCCCCTCCTCCTAGAAAGCAAAAAGAAAAACACATTCAGGGGGCAGACTTAAATTGATGCAAAACAAGCCATGTTAAAATTAGAAAGACCGATATGAATTTAATTGCCATTCTACTGATGTGGCAGCCCACGGAACGTCCCATTCTGCGTGAGCGAGACGGTAGGTGGATTGAAGCATGCAGTTTGAGTAGTGGAGAGCGGGACAGGGAGGAGGTGGGGGAGGTTTGCTTGTTGCTTCTAAGCCGTGCAAAAACAACACCCAAGCCAACTTCTACCGCTGCATGGTTTCCCTCCCCCTTGCACCTCGTTTCTCTCTTCCTCCACAATTCTCCCCTCCCACCCACTATTTTCCCCTCAGCCACTTATGGGTTCATTACAGAACACAGCAGGTATCAGGGACCAAACCCTCATTATTTCCCCTTACAGAGTGGGCAAACATTAGTAACTTTCCCTTATCAATAAATATTGTGTGGCTCAATTTGATTATACCCTCATATAAAATCCATGGTCTTTAATTTTGTGGTGCTTCAGCCCCATCACTATTATTCTGAGGCAGCAATTTAAAAGGTGCTAGCAGTAAGCTAACAGCTACAGAGAGCCATCAGTGCATGCATCTGCAGTTTTTTCAGTTTTAACACCAGCGATTCATATCTTTTAGCAAAAAAAATTTCCGTATTTTTAAATGCTAGCATCAGTATAGACTTAGAATTTCACATGAGGCTGTATATTAGGAGAAGTGTTTCCATTAAAGCTTTTTATTCGAGTAGAAGGGTTTGATCGAAACAGAAAATTAATATCAACTCATCACATTTTGCTAAGGTTGATGCTTAGCTTGAGGGGATTTTATACTTTTTTGAAAAAGTTAAAACGTGCTATAGAGGAGATGAAAATATACTTGTTGAATAAGTTCGGACCAATAAAACAAAAAGACTGATCAGCCGGTTCCCTTTTCGACATCTCCAGATGGATGGTAACATCGCTAGCACTTGCTCTCATGATAAAGTTTAACTCACCTGATTAAAACATTCATTAAAACCTAATAATCCATGGTACACAGATAACTGTTTTCTAGCTTGAATTCTTTTTTTATTAAAGCCAAGCGGAACATTAATGTAAGATAAAATCATGCTTTGCTCCTTTGCATCACCTGGTTAAAACTCAAACAGCTCCAACTTTGGACTGTAAAATCTACCTTCAGTTATCTAGAATTCAAACCTTAACAAAATCTGTAATTTTCCTATGAAAAAGCAAACTGATGCTGTTGAAGACTAACCTGGCAACAGCCAGATGCATGTCTCGCTCCGCCTAGCTCCGCTCACATACATCTGGGAACCCGCCATAGGAATTGCCTTTACTGAAGGCTGGGCCTTATCAAAACTCCTTGCATATGATTGGATAAGCCACTTGTCTGTCATCTTTATTGACGTGCTATTTCAACCACTCACACCGAAGCTAACCCGTGACGCTGTGAGAGGAGGAGCCATTTGGTAGATCAAGCTCTTGCCAAATTCGGTCGGGAGAAGGGCGAAAACATTGTTTCCACCAACAAAAGCCTTCAAAGCCGTTCTCTGATGTTCTTTTGATGAAACAATATCAGATAGATTGGACAACACAGAAGAAATAGCAGCATCAATGCTAACGCTTGCTTCCTCAATGCGAGCCGCCATTGTTGTTGGAATCTCACGGTCGCTTCTCCACTCCAGGACACACCCACCCTGCGTCCTGATTGGACACACCATAAATTCGGTTGGGGAAATCACTTTCAATGAGCGGGTTCCCAGATGTATGTGAGTGGAGCTGGGCGGAGCGTGACATGCATCTGGCTGTTGTCAGGTTAGTTGAAGACGGGATTTAGGAGAAAGTCAGACACCATTTGGTTAACATCTACTCCGTCAGAGTCTAAACAGGGACAGTTATGTAGACCATATTGAACCAGACCAAGACAGCAACAAAAAAGAAAAAAAAGAAAAGACATCTCCTTGAGGATTTTACAGCGTCAGGTAAGAGCATTTCGTTTTGTTGTGTAAACAGAATTAACAAGTCTTTCCCAGCATCGCTTCATAAACCCTAATCAAGCTACCAAAACAAGCCCTATTCAGTTTAATAAGCTCCAAAGCTGAGAGACAACCTAGGACGCACAGCGATATTTGATCACCGATTTTTCATCACTTGGAGCAAAACAGTACTGACCATTAAATATTTTCTTTAATTTCTGGCACCCTACAAGTTACATCTTCACACAGAGACTTTATAGTAAATGCAACAGTCAACAGAAAGATATTGACTGTTTTGATTTTTGTTTACATTGATAGAAAATATTTCACGTGCTGATTTTAGGTAAATTTTAGCCTTTCCGTACGTGTTAAAAGAGAAATGACTGAACTGTATCCCATTCTAGCTTTTTTATGAAATCATGAACAGACATGAGTGTTTCAGAAAGGTCTATTTAGATACAGGATTTGGTAGGAAACTTGATATCAAGCGCCAAGCATTCCTTCTCTGCACTTCATTGCTATATTTGGTTAAACTCTCAGACGCATAAAAGCCCACACGCAATTCAGATGATGGTAGGTGAGATGCTACAGCTCACAGTAAATGATGGGAACAACCATGTGGAAAATGTGGTTTAATTGCAAACAAAAACTGACATTAAAAAAAAACTATGTAGCTGTTCCTTCTATAGGTTCAAATGAGTTTCCTTTGAGGTATATTTAATCAGCCGAACCAAAAACTGAAATGCTATCCTGCTAAGCCCTTTGTGGCCAGTCATACATCAAAAGTTGATAAGTGAGTTTTTAAAAATCAAGATGCATTCTTGGACGACCGGAGTTGCCATATGGCTTTAATGTTGACACAAAAGCAAGAACACATCAGGATTCTACGCATTTTATTCCTTTTTTAAATGATGTTACCAAATGGTTCAGGGATCCTGAGAAACCACTTCAAATTATAATTCCTTTTCATACCAACTTACCTGGATCCAGCTTTAAACTCTGCACCTGAGTCACACAAACTATACGGCTTCACTACATCCCTCCCTCGTCCCTCTATACTAGTACCAGTCAGCAGATATGCCCCTGGGACTACCTCACTTGGTGAGTCAGGGCCCTAACAGGCTGACTGCCCAACACCCCACGCCTTCACAGAACGCATGGAGGGCAAAAAAAGAAACAGCATAATCAACATTGTGGAAGAGGTTCTTAAATAAAGAACAGTAAACTAAGTCTGGGAAGAAAAAAAAAATTGCTGTTCCTATACAGACAAAACCAAGCAAATTCCACAAACCTTTATCTTTAAGACTTCACCTAAAACTAAAACAGGACTATAGAAATATGACTCAGTATATACTGCATAAACCCCATGCTGCATCTTCTTCTTTTTGACTATAGAGCCGATGTAACAAGTACATTTCTCCACTGTGAGATTAATAAAGTCAATCAATCAAATATCTTTAAGTTTGAAATAAAAACAAATGTTATTTTATGAACAAACAGGTCTAAATATATAGTATATCAGCACACCATAATGTTTAGTTTTGTATTTTTGATTTGTCGAACTGATTACTAACAGAAAAAAACTCAAGACATCCCCAGACAGTCATGTTTGTGGTTATGTGTGAGGTTTGCAGAGTCATGTAGTTAATGCCAAAATTGTTCCAACAGGCTCTCTAATGAAGGGCTCTGAGGGTCCAGCTATTCCATGTATGCTTTGAAATTCATCTGAAAGTGCAGGTCGAATGCCAAGCACGGTCTGGATGTTAGAGTGCTACTAACAGGTTTCTAAAATCCATTATAATAGATTCAATTTATTGAGTGCATCACTCTTTTTACCCATGTTCTGACCTTGAACTAACAGAACTCATTTATTTATAAACAAAATATATTTCTTCTTAAAAAGGCAAATTCTCACAGAAAATAATATAAATACATGACCTAAGGTAACTAACTATCTGCATTCAAAGCTAAATCCTCCAAAAGGAGGTTGGATGTAAAACTAATATCAAGATGAGCTAAATTCAAAAAACCAGTTGCCACTTGCTTAACATTGAACCGCAGCCAGGGAAGATTTCATTACTTTAAAATGGGAGACATGATATAGGTTATGACTTGTTGAGTTTAGGCCATATATTTTAGCAGATTATGGAGAAGATTGTAGTAGAAAATTTTCAGTTTTAATCT